AACCCACCAGTCACTCCAAAGGACTCCAGTGGTAGTCAGCTTCCATAAAGGTTACAGCCTTGGAAACTTTATAGGGCAATTCTGCTCTGTCGCGGAGGGTTGCCATGAGTGAGAATTGACTCAACAGCACCCAACAACAACATGATTATTTAATCTTTGAGTCCGTGGGTGGTGTAAATGGTTAACATGCTTGGACACTAACCAAAGGCAGGAGGTTCAAGTATACCCACAGGCACCTCAGAAGAAAGGCCTGGTGTTCTACTCCCAGGAAAAAAAATCAGCCAATGAAAACCAGCTGGAGCATAGTTCCACTTGGACACACGAGCCATCGCCATTAGTCAGAGTTAGCTCCACAGCACCTGGTCGTTTACTTGTCTCCTCCACCTGGCACTACACTCAGCAAGGGCAGGGGTAGCATTTGGCTGACCACTGTCATGCTGACCAGTTATTTCTAGCACAATGCCTAAGACTGAGGAGGAGGTAATAACATTTGTTCCGTGAATAGATGATATGTCCCACACTGAGCAATCCAGGTGATAGAATTTAATGTTAAGTGGCATTTAAAGTTACTTAAGAATTAAATGTGATCTGGACAAGTCTATACAAAATTATATGCTCACATACACATATATGCATAGATACACATGAGGATTGGTAATACAGTGTGGTACAAGCAACACTGGCCAGAGATAGAGGGTAGTGACTCTGTCACTAATCAGTTGGCGCAAATAGGGCACAGAGGCAGCATCTTCTGACCTCCTCTAACTTCACAAGAGGAACACAGAATCATCACCAGCAGCCCAAGGCTTAGTCCTATGAGGCCAGACATGCTGCCACTCTCTAGCCTTTTACTGTTTCTGACACCAACCATCCCTCCCATGTCACTCACTACTTCTCTGCTGGGTTCAGTAATTTGTTGCAATGGCCACACACAACTCACAGACAATACTCATGATTATGGGGTTTATGAAGGAAGTAACAGGCTACAATTCAGGTTCAGGAATGCACTCAGGATACAACTCTTCGATCAGGACAGTCTCCCCTCTCCTATGCCCTCAGGCCCGCCTCTCTGGCCCTTGGCCTCTCAGCCTGGCCTCTGCCCTGCTTGGCAAGTGTTACAATGCTCTTTTAGTTCTACTGATAGGTAGACCTAGGTGCACCCCACTCCGTCAGCAAACCTCCAGCCCAAGGGCACTCAGCTTTCCTGCTCTGTGAGCCAGGTAAGCCCACCACTCTGTTTTGGTTCCACTGTGATCGTCTCTCTCTGCCAGGGTGTCTCTCTCTGCTGGAGTGTCTCTCTGTGCCGGCTTATGTCTCTCTGACACACATCTCTGCCAAGGAGGTCCAGTGCAGGGATCACAGGTCCAAGGACACACTCTACTTCATCTCCAGCCCCTCTCTGCCTCTAGGAAAGCTCCTTTTAAGCCTGCAAGAGTGACAAAACTAACCAATCCCAACATCAGAGTTCTACACACCTTACTTGCATGGTCCCACCCAGTAACCCAGGAGCTCTAGTGGTGTAGTGCCTAAGGCATTTGACTGTTAACCAGAAGGCTGGTAGTTCAAACCCACCAGCCACTCCTTGGAAGACTGGACAATCTACTTCCGTAGAGATACCAACTCGGAAACCCAAGGAAAGGTCACTTAGTTGGAATAGACTCCACAGCAGTGAGGTTTTTTTTTTTTGGTACCCAGTAACCCAGTGGGAGTTACAAAAGCTATGGTTAGAAAAACCATACCAAGTAATTCACTGCACCACAGTTGGTGACTAAGGATATGTCACCTGTTGATTTAGGTCGCTCTCTATCAGTGAATAATTCTCAATAGATATGATAATGCCGCTGGTGTTAGGCATTCATGGGAGGCCTTTAGAACATGAAGCCTGGTTGGCCAGACTTCCTGCTGTCATAGTGGTTAAGCCCTCTGCTGCTGACAGCTGCTCCACAGGAGAAAGATGTGGCAGTCTGCTTCTGTGATGACTTACAACCTTGGAAACCTTATAGGGCAGTTTTACTTTGTCCTTTAGGGTCGCTGTGAATGGGAAAATTAACTTAACAGCACTGGGTTTGGTGGTTTTTTTGATTCTCACAATGAAGAAGTGTTTTGAGTTCTTCGTGATTTTAAATGTCCTACCGTAAGTGAAAAACCTGTTTATAATTATGTGAACCTAAAACCAAATCTCATTTTACATATGAGCACATAAAAGTGTCTCATATTATTTTTTTAAATCATAGTTACAGTATACAGTGAATACATACTATGCATTTACCATGAACACTGAAGAAAGATTTGTGTTGTCCACTAGAGGTGGCCAAAATACTCTATCTCTTTCAGTTGGTATTTGTAGCTGTCATATTCATGGGGATTTTATTTCTAAGTGCAAGCAAATAATGCCTTGATCATATTTTCCAGCTTAGTCATGGCTGAGCACTTATATGGAGAAATACAAACCATTTCATGATAAATTATTTGTCTACCACTCGTCTGTCAGTATTTTGTACTGTGGTGGCTTGTGGGATGCAATGATGCTGGAAGGTATGCTACCAGTATTTTAAACACAGCCAATACAAACCTTATGGATCCCAACAGAATATTGTTCAGTCTAGTGCTGGAAGATGAGCCCCTAAGGCTGGAAGACGAGCCCCTCAGGCTGGAAGACACTCAAAACGCACACTGGCTGCAACAAAGGATTCAAACAGACCAAGGATCATGAAGGTGGCACAAGACCGGACAATGTTTTGTTCTGTGGTATGTGGATGGGGTCACCAGGAGTCAGAGTCAACTGCACAGCAATGAACATTTTCTTTGTACTTCTTTATATTATAAATAGGGCATAATTTTGCTTTAAAACAAGTAAGATCAGGTATATGGGTATGTTATTGTAGTTGGTGTTATGTGCCATCAAGTCGGACCCAACTCACATTGACCCCTCCGTGGGTTTCCGAGGCAGTGTCACTACAGAAGTAGATTGCACCATTTTCCTTCTGAGGAGTGGCTGGTGGGTTTGAACCACCAGCCTTCTGGTTAGCAGTCAAGTGCCTTAGGCACTATGCTACCAGAGCTCCCATAGGTATGTTATACTGTCTATAAATTTCATTTTAGGAAATAAAGGGGCATTATCAAAATACTCATTAAAAAAGGGCTGTCGGGTAAGACAAGGTTGCCAATCACTGGATTAGTGATGCTTAAGACCCCTTCCCATTCATACTGCTACGGTTTTAATTTTCAACAGTGGAAAGCATTCTTTTTATTTTGTTCTTTTCATTATTTTGTTTTCATTCCCCTATTAAATTGGTTGTATTTACAAGAAAAATACACACGCTAAAAGAAAATACACATCACCTACACTGAATTTTAGGCACTTAGCTACATAGAGGACAATCCAAATGACTTCCCAAATTTCCTTGCTAGTAAACTCCATAATTTCAAATTTATGGTAAAATGTGAGTCTATCACACATTTTAATTTCTCACCATGAAACTGTTGTCTGGGCTTGACAGTGAAGAAATTCAAACATGGAGAACTTGGACTGAAAAAAGAATGAAATGAATGCGTCTCACTATCAGGTTAGGTTCATACACATGAAACCTTTCCCTATCCCCCTTGCTGTCCGTTTTTTCCTTATGAGCTATGATAATACATTTTATCGTATATGTTGATTGCCTCCCCCCACCCCCACTAGAATGGGGACAAGGAGTTTTCTCTCTTGCTCACCGTCGTAAACCCAATGCCTAGAACGGTGCTGGGCTCAGGAGGAGCTCAAACACTGTTTGTTGCAGGAACGGGCGAAGAATACACGCAATAAGTAAGCACGACTGCTTGGAGCGCCACTTCCACCAGAGTTCCAGGCGGCAAGCGGGAGGGACCGCTACATTGATTTTTGTGACGAAGGATTCCCTGTGGCTCTCAGGGGCTGCGGCTTCCTTCTTGTATTCTGTGGGATGGGTGCGGAGTTAGTGAACTTGCCTCACAGGAAGTGTGCAGGGCAGGATACCGAGCTAGCAATAATTTGCGCCTTAACTCCGTATAATGTTCTTACATTAACATCATTAGGAACACAGGCTTTCGTAGTTGCATGGGTGTTCAGTTCTCTTGCACAATCTTGCACAGGGCAATTTAGGGTATTTCTTCCCTGGAGATGTACGGTGAGGACGGGATCAAGGGCAGTTACTATTACAGAATACGGTTCCCCTTAAAAGCGCAAAGACCGGAGAACCGGGTTAAGCTCACTCACAATCCAGACACAGAAGCCAAACCGGCGTCAAATTCTCCTCCCAGATCAAATCCCGCGCTCCTAAATCCGGACCTGCCCGTCCCGCCCCTTTAGATACCTATAGGGGCGGGACAGAGTAGAAACGTCCTCGGTGCCCCCAAATTGTTACACTCGCCTCGAGTTTTGGTATCCCATACTTCAGCAAACACCGAGGACATCCACTAAAGGAAACAGCCGGCCAAATGATAGTAAAGCGGCACACGCTGGCCGATCAGGGGGCAAAACATGAAGAAAAACGGCCGTCCCCCTCCAGCCACGTGAAACTGGAGCCCGTCCGCCCTCTCAACGAGAACTACAACTCCCGAGTGCCGATGGGCGACGGCCCACTGAGAACTACAACTCCCAGCGTGCTGCGGGCGCGGCCACAGCCCCCTCCCACTTGCCCGCCTACCGCCCCTCCGCCCCTCCCCCGCCCCGCCCGGCCGGATCGGCGTGCGCCTGCGCACGACAGGCCGGAGGAGTCTTACCCTAATGTAAGATGGTGGCCCGTCTGGCTGTAGAACCCACCGAAAGCTGAGAGTCTCTCTCTCAGCCGTAAAGGTCGGACTCGCTGAAGCAATCAGGCCCGGTTGTGAAGAGTTTTTTCCCCGACCCGCGTTCAGTGGTATCTGACAAGGACGAGGCGGCGCGCGGAGTCGGCTACGGGAAAAGCGAGGCACGGCTGGCGGGTGAGTTCTGCGGGGCTGGGCTTAGGGGAAACCCGGGCTGACCCTCTACGAGAGAGCGGAGGCTTCGCCGGGACTGTGCAGGCCGCACCCTCCCTCCCCACCCCCCGCCTCATCCGCGCCCTCCTCCTGCTGGGTCTTCCTCCTCGTCTTCCTCCCTCTCCCCTCGACGCCACAGCAGTTGCCACCAGGAAAAGGGAGAGGGCCGAAAGCAGCGGCGGCGACGAGCCTGGCTCCCTCGGAAATTTCCTGAACTGGGAGCCGAGGCGGCTCCTCGGCTCCCGCTCGCCCTCCCGTTGGTGTTTGTCGGGGCAGGGTGCTCGGGTCTCAGGACGCCTTGTTCCCCAGCCTCGCTTCCCCGCGCTGACGCCCTTTCCCGCTGGCCCCTGGCTCCCGTGACCGGAGCCATCCCTTCCACTCCGACCCGGGCTGCTGCTGCTGCTCGTTGCTTACTCGCCCTCTGCTCGGGCTTTGCTTCTGGAGTTCGCCTTTGCCCACTCTTCTGCTTGCAACAGCCCCCTGGGGATGTGCCCCACCGGAGCTCCCTCCGATTTGCAGGCTGGCCTTCGACCACATCTGTCATCTTCCAGCTGCCCCTTCGGTGTCTGGATTCTGCTGCTGCCCGTTCTGACCCACCTGTTTGTCCGCCTTCTTGGGAATTGGCCGTCCCTTCCCTCTTTCCGGTACAGATCCTTCTAACACACACTTCCAGAAAAAGGGGTGCCCCGTGGTGGCCCTTGAAAAGTCGAGGAAGTTGAGGAGTGAATGAAGCGAGGTAGGAAACTAGGAGACGTTCTGGGTGAAGATGGTTTATTCACGCTCCTCCGGGAGGAACGTTTTCTCTTGCTCTACGTGTGGATTATCCGCTCTGTTGGGACTTGGCTGTTTTCCTCCCCCTTTTCATTTTGGACGGCCTTCCCCATGCTGCCAGGCGTTCTTCCGAATGGCCTCTCCCCAGGCTACTTGATGTGGGCTCAGATTATCCCAATAAATACTGGCCTCGGCGTTTCAAAATAAGATAAGTGTGCTGCACGCACAAGATTCATCTGTGAACTCCACCAGCAAGTATCAGTGACTTTTTCATTAAATGAGTTACACATAGGCTACACAGCCCATCCATACTAAGAACTGATTATTGACTGCCTTTTATAGTGATGTTAGCTTCATTGATGGCATTTTATTTTTGGTTTGAGTAGAAATTTCCTCTCTGGCTCATACCAGTTTTACTTAGTATTTTTGCAACTGGGAAGGTCTCACTTTTAACCCTTTTAGGATGGTGGTTATCTGAATAAATTGTCTTTTCTGGAAAAGACGTTGTTGTTGTGTGACATCGAGTCGACCCGACTCATAGTGACCCCTCCTTGGGTTGCCAAGGCAGTATCACTACGGAAGTAGATTGTCCAACCTACCTTCCGAGGTGGGGCTGGTGGATTTGAACAGCTCGCTTTCTGGTTAGCAGTCAAGTGCCTTAGGCACTATGCTACCAGAGCTCCTAGGAAAAGACATTAGGTATATATATATATATATATGCAAAAGAAAAAAGTCAGTATTTCTTGTTGTTGTTGTTATGTGCCGTCGAGTCGGCCCCGACTCATAGCGACCCCTCCTTGGGTTTCCGAGGCAGTATCACTACGGAAGTAGGATTGCGCAACCTTCCTTCCGAGGAGTGGCTGGTGGGTTTGAACCGCCAGCCTTCTGGTTAGCAGTCAAGTGCTTTAGCCACTATGCTACCAGAGCAGTATTTCTTATGCGTATGTAAATCCTCATATCTTCTCCGTGGCAAAGAAGGGGGCTAGGAAAAGAGCTAACAAAGTTGTGCACATGCCTGCATCTGGTGGCACTCACTGGTCTTGCTACCTACATGCAGAAGCAGAAAACTAGAAACAAGAGGTGGCTTATGATGTCTGTTTGTCAAAAGAAAAAAAAAAAAAAACTTGCAGTGTTCTGACTAATGGCCTAACGGGAAGAAGGAACCCTTGCTATCATCGGATACTCTCAGAGAGTTACCAGACAAACAAACAGGTTTACATAGATCAGATACAGACATCTCAAGTTTAAACATAAATAAGACATTGTTTTCTTAAAATATGTGTAAAAATGTTTGAAGATGGAGTAGCAGTCTCATGCAGCAATATATCTCCTACTTGTAGTAATATGCCTTAAGTATAAAAGCAAATACATAAGGTTAACCCTCTTAGTCACTTTTGCACATTTCTGGATTGTCATGATTTGGGCATATGTTATCTGTAAACTTGAGGAATTTTACATTTGGCATTTATATATACTTGATCATGACAAATGGTCTATTTTACCAAATGTAAACCAAGGTTAGAAAAGCTGTTTATAAAATGTCTTTTTTCCTTTCAGCCACTTAAACCCATATTAGGGAAGCTAAATAAATCCTGACTCTTTTGAGAAAGGGAAATAATTTAATAGAAAACCTTGTCCTAAGTTATAACTTGGAAGTTTTTTTTTTTTGAAATATTATTTACACATAGTTTATCAGCGGGAGTGTATTTAATATAGTTGAGCTTCAACTCTGAATAAAAACTATACTTTATCTTTCTTTGTAATACGCATTTGGAGAAGTTTTCCACTATGAACAAGTCTAACACACACAGGTTTAGAAATTCTTGGCAGTCATACTTGGCCAAATTGTAAGCAGTGTGTTCTAGGAGAGGACTGTTTGTCTGGCAGAGAGAGGTCAGTGATTGTAATACATCTTTGCTTTTCTAAAGGTTTTTTACCTCACTAAATAGCTCCTTCAGTAATTTTCTCCCTCTCACACTTTTTGCTTCCAAAACCAAAAAACCAAACGCACTGCTGTGAAGTTGATTCCAACTCAAAGCAACCCTATAGGACAGAGTAGAACTGCTCCATAGGGTGTCCAGGGCTGTCATCTGTACGGAATCAGACTGCCACATCTTTCCCCAGCAGAGCAGCTGGTGGCTTCCAAGTGCCCACCTTTTGGTTACCAGCTGAGCACTTTAAACAACTCTGCCACCAGAGCTCCTTTCAGGTAAGAGAGGAATTTGTATTTTGTGAAAACTTGAACGTGTGCTGGCAATGCATTCAGCCTTCTGTCAGTAAGTCCAGTACTGTCTTGTCTTGTCTTTTTATGAAGGAAGTTACAGGATTCAGCCCAGCTGGTTTTGAAGGAAAATGGTAGGGAAATAGGTTATAGAGTTTTTTGCTGTTCTAGAAACTGTTTAACTAAAATGTATGACATACTTTTCTCAAAGGAGTTCTTAAATCTAAGTAGAACTTGTAAATGGTTTTCATCCCACAGGAATAGTATGTATCAGATAAAACTTGTTAACAGATTCTGAGATTATAAATTGTCACCTCAGAAATATTAGGGAACTCTGTAAATGCCTGTTGTTGTATAAAATGTGGCCATGTTTTAAAGATTTTAGGATGAAAAGTGAGGATGCCCAAATCATAAAAATAGTATAATTTATTCTGTTTTTGTGATGAAGGAAAGAAGATAAGTGTGACATTAATTTTAATCACTTATTCAGCAGTTTTCTATAAGAACTTTTTTTTCAAAATTCCTTTTAATCTCATTAGTATTTGTCCTTTATTAGCAAATAACTATAACTAATAAATAGAAATAACTAATAAAGTTGATAGTGGTAATCAGAAACTTGTTTATAGAAGAGACAATTTCTTGTTTATTAGAAGAGACTGTTTGGTCTCTTCGATGAGCTTTCTTTCTCATAGAAGAGTTTTTCTGAAACTAGAAGGGAGGAGAAATTATATTCTGCTAAAAAGGAGATGATGATTTCTACCAGTAGAGACTCAGCTTTAAAGATAGTACAAGGCCTTTTGAGTGTGAGTTTATATTCCTCCTAAGGACACGATTTTTCAGGATGCCTTCATTATTATTAAACTCTTGTTTATACAGGAGGTTGTCCTGTTTTAAACTTCGATTGCATTGGGTGATGGGCAGATGACATATTGCTATTAAGATAAGTCTTACTATTTTTGTGTGTCAGAGATCTGTTTCAAACCATACTTCTTTTTAGTATGGTAACTAAGATCTCACCTCTGGGGTATTTAAACAAGGGGAAGGAATCAGAATTATCAGATCGGCCTGTATGTATGTGTAAAATCAGTTTTTTGAGGGGGAGAAGTCAAGGCAAATGAGCAAGTATAATTAGAAGACTAAAATGCCTGCATTTAAAAAGAGTAGGTGTTATATTACTGCTTTTGGAAGGAAATTAGTGAATGATGTTGTAGGAAAATAGTGATTGGATTTTGAAAAGTTGCTGTTGACTGAAATATCAGAGGGATAGAGCAGCAACACATAGGCACATTGTTATGATGCCAAATATCTGAAATTTCTTAAGCATGTTTTCCAGTCCTTGGAATAAAGAGGAAGTGCTCATTTTTTCATTATTTAAGAACCTATTAGTTCATTCACTATTCAGGCTTCAGATTATGAATTTCCTGAAATTACATTGCCTGATCTAGGTTACTGAATATTTGGTTATATCAACTTTTCCTCCTCTCATTTTCTGCCTCTCAATTTTTGTTTGTGATTTTTTTCCAGTGTTTTGTTTTTTATTTTCAGCAATTATCTGATGAACCCTATTGTGAATTCTGTAATTGAATGAAAATTTATAATATAAATACCATTGCTTTTGGTGGTAAGATTAATTTTTCTTTTGATGGAGAGCCTTTCTGTTTTGATTAGATTTTTCTTTTAGCTTATTTTTATTAATTCTGAGATAAGAATTAGGTGGTACACATATCCTATCAATCTAAATCTTTCTAGAAAATTGCATTTTATCCTATGTGGAGATCTAGGTTCTTGGGGGTAAAGAAAATGTTATAATGTATTGTGGCTTTGTCATTTAAAATGACATGAAGAAGTCCCTGGGTGGTGCAAACAGTTAAGTGCTCAACTACTAGCTGAAAGGTTGGTGTTGGAACCCACCCAGAGATGCCTTAGAAGACAGACCTGGCGATTTCCTCCCACAAGGTCAGAGCCTTCAAAA